AGGGTAAAGTCAAAAGTATGTGGAAATTGAAATGTACGCAGCGAGTATTTCTTTTGCTTGAATATTCTTATGCCTGTTGCGAATGCAGTTCTGAAAGGTGGCTACTGGAAAAAAACTGCTATAATGGAGGCCATACTGGTTTTTATATCAGGTAATTTGAAGTGCTGTACGGGGTAAAAATGGCTTTGGCGGTAAAATTACTCCGCGATTCTACAGAGGGCGTAATTCATGTGTCATTAACATTATTCTTTCTTGAACAGTAAAATAACAAACATTTTTTCCAACATTTATCGGTGAAATAGTGCAGCAAGAAAAGGAGCTGCAATTCATGTTAACTCCTTCAGAGAATACGGTATGTAATCGGGAATAATTATAATATATAAGCACGAATTTTTAAATTTCAGCAGGCTTTTAAGCACCTCTGGCTTGTCACATTCCAACACCATCCAATAAAAATTCTTGAACGTAAGTGAGGAATAACATCATTAATGCTGCTAAAAAAACATTTGGTGATTTTATGTTTTGTTCACGTGAACCCTGATAATTTCTAAAATGCTATAGCTGTCTGTGGGAACGACTTTCGATTGGTGTTAATGTAGTATCATTCTTTAAATATTGACCAGGAGAAGTGACTTCCCCCTAATTTTTATGTGTTTTTTGCAGCTATGCAATGCAAAAACGCATATTGACGAGGGGTTGTCTGTGTGTCCGTGTGTCTGTGCGTCTGTGTGTGCTTCTATCACGCACTTTCATCTCAAGACCTGTAAAAGCTGCAGGGCTAAAATTTTGGGAACTTAATCTACATGCACGTGCCGGCCCCAATCCCCAAAATTGGCGCCATCACCCGCGTGGTATCCGCGTACGGGCCCGCCAAAGTTTTTTTGGGGTAAGTTCATAACTCGGGGATCTGAGAAGCTAGAACGCTGAAGTCTTAAGGGAATGTTCCCCGTCCAACTGGGTGTTAGTGCACTGAAACCCATTCCCCGGGTAAGCGTGGTACCCGCGTACGGGCCCGCCAAAATTTTTTTCGGGTAAATGCATAACTCGGGGATCTGAGAAGTTAGAATGCTGAAATCTTACGGGATGTTGCTCGTCCAAGTAGGTGATAACTTAGGAACCAGGAAAGCTAGAAAGCTGAAATTTTAAGGGGCTGTTTCCTGCGAGTTCTGGCGGCCAGTCTTAATTTGTTCAGCTAGAAGCATTTGCTGAGAAAATCAATGCCGGTAGGGACAAAAACTGCAGGAAACTAAGCAAAAAAACGCATCTTCGCACGGGCAGCCCGTGCGTTGGCCAATTAATTTTCTTTTTCCTTCCCCACACAAACGATTTTGACAACTCAGGGCAAATTTGTGTTTTTGGTCTCTATTACAGCTGAATTTTTCTCTGTTTTGCTAGATTTAGTGAACTGGTAAATCGTTCTCTTTCCGGCTGGATTTAGCTCTCATTAATGTTAAAACGTTGCTCCAATACAAACTGTCAATATAAAATTATATTAGAAAATTAGATGAACAGAAATTTTTCGCTCCACTAAGTCGTATGCATTCCCACCGTGCACCAAAACTGGACCTCCTCAGTTTGTCGGTTGTGGCGGTGACATGAGGGAATATATAATAAAACAAAATAAATTTGTGCAGAGAAATAAGGTGTAGTTTTGAAAAATATAAAGAATAGAAGATGGAAAGGATAATTTTAAAAAATGATGGTGGCGTTCAGCAGTCATGTATTCTACGCAGTTCCGTCCAGCGGATGTTTGCTGTTAAGAATTACAGTGCATTACATTGTGATGTGCGCGAAAATATTTGACATGTGTTTTATGTCTCCTAAGCTGCGAAATTTCCCGCGAAGAATTTCGTGTGCTTGTGCTTGAAACTTATGTACTTGCGAGCTAAACATGAATTTAGGGGATTGCACATGAAGAGCAAACATCTCCCTGAAATCTTAGCTGTCTTGTGATGTCTCTGAACGAAACATTTCCCTCGTGAGCTTTCGCATGTCCGTACGTGAGACTTAAGCGGGAATGAAAGTTGATTTTGAAATTTCGAGACTGCATATTAGATTTCTAGCTTTCCATCTTGCCCGGTTTCATAGTAAAAAGTTTTGCGCCAATATATTCATGTGTCCGTAATGTGAGGCGTGGGATTTGAAAACTCGATCTGAATTTATTTGGTCCCACATGAGAGGGAGGCATACTTGCGAACTACCAGCTTCCTGTTTTTGCCGGATTACGGGTCGAAAAATCTCCTGCTAAGACTTTCACGTGTCCTTACATGAGGCCTAGGCATACTTGGAAGCTGAATTCAAGTTTGTGAAGTTCCACATAGGGAAAAAGCATCTTCCCAAGATTTAAGCTTCCTTGCTTTTCTGACTGACAATTTAATGTCTTTCACGCCAAAACCTTCACATGTCCGTACGTTAAACCTATGCATATTTCCTGTGTAAGAAGAAAACAACTTCTCGTATCTGAGCTTCCTACCTTTTGCTGTTCCAGAGTTAGTAATTTTCTACCCAAAACTTTCGCGCGACTGCACGCGAGGCCTACACAATTTGTACTCGCGCGTAGTCAAGGGACATACTTTTAAAGTTTTAGCTTCCTAGCTTTTCTGATTCTTGTGTCGAAACCCGCCGATAAAATGTATTCGGACAAAATGCGCTTTGCACAACTCCTACATCACAAAACGCAGAAGAAAGGGCAGTGATAGCTGACTGGCCGCTTGTAATACAGGAAGTTGAGGATTGCAAATTGGTGATGGTAGTCCAGCTTTTATAAAAAATTTAAAAGTTGTTGCGGAGAAGGAGGGAAGAGGAGATAGGATTTGTTAAGCGCTTTTCTTTGAGTTAGTGACTGGATTGAAGATGAGGGGAAGCGGAATCAGTTCACTTAGAGGGACTGATCAGTTTTGCTGTTGTAATTGCTTAGCTTATTGCATTTTAGGCACCGAATTTAAAAATTGAGTTGGAAAAGCCATTTGCTGGCCTTTGTGTCGAAATCTGCTGCAACAATATAGATGCACTTCGCAGCGCACATATGTTGCATTACTATTCGCGGTAATTCTTTTGAAATCGAATGAAGTACACAGCCCCGACGGCTTTTGAAAGGACGGCATATATACGTTTTGGTAATAGCTCTCTCCAACTGGATGCAAACGTAAAGAAATGAAAAAGGAGGGGGGTTATAAAAGCGACTGTCAGTCAATTTTTGTCGCATATTACAGGATGTTCATGCTAGAAATGAAAAGCGCATGGCGAACCAAGACATAGTAACTTCTTTTTTATGCATTTTTTTACAGCTATGCAATGCAAAAAATGTATACTGACGAGGGTTTGTCTGTATGCTTGTCTGTACCGACTTTTCATCTCGAGAAAAGTTACGGGGCTGAAATTTTGGGAGATTAGTCTAAATACATGTACGGACGCCCATCCTCAAAATGGGCGCTCCAACCCGCTTGATACCCACGTACGGGCCCGCCAAAGTTTTTTTTTGGGCAAGCTGCTAACTCGGGAACCAGAGAAGCTGGAAAGCTGAAATTTTAAGGGGATGCTCTCCATCAAAGTAGTTATTAATGAGCTCAAACTCAGCCCTCGGGTTTGCGTGGTACCCACGTGCGGGCCTATGAAAGTTTTTTGCGCGTGAGTCGCTAACTCGGGAACCTGAAAAGTTAAAAGACTGCGATTCTGAGGAAATGTTCCTCGTCCACGTAGGTGTTAATGAGCTCAAACCCAGTCACCGGGAGTGCGTGGTATCCGCAAAGTGGTCCGTGAAAGTTTTTTACGGGTGAGTCGCTACCTCAGGAATCAGAAAAGCTATAAAGCTGAAATTTTAGGGTGATGTTCCCCGTCTAAATAGGTCTTAATGAGCTTCAAACCAGTCCCCGGACATGCGTGGTACCCACATACGGGTCTGCCGAAGTTTTTTCCTGGTAACTGTCTACTAGGGAACCAGAAAAGCTAGAAAGCTGGGATTTTAAGGGGGTATTCCCCGTCCACGTAAGTCTTAATGAGCTTCAAACCTGTCCCTAGGTATGCGTGGTACTCATGTACGGGTCCGCCAGAGTTTTTTTTGAGTAAGTTTCTAATTCGGGAACCTGAGTAGAAGACTGCAATTTTAAGGAGATGTTCCCCATTCACGTAGGTTCTAATGTTCAGGCCTAGCTGCCGGGTATGCATGGTTCCTATTTACGAGCGCGTGAAAGTTTTTTGCGAGTTACTAACTCGGGAACCTAGAAAGTTAGGAAGCTGAAATTTTAAACGGATCCTTCCTGGCAGTCCTGGTGGCCATTCTCAATTCTTTTTCCTAGAAGCATCTGCCGGAAAAACCGTTGCGGGAAGCGACAAAAACTGCGGGCAACTGTGCAAAAAAACGCATTTTCGCACCGGCAGTCGATGCGTTGACCAATTATTCTGTGGTGAAAATGTTGTTGTTTCGACTCTATGCAGTCCTGAACTCAACACTGTAGGTGTTTATTTACAACTCTAGGGTAATAAATGCAAAGTATGTTTAGAGTTGATGACCGCTTTCCAGCGCTGTGCTTGATTGTCAGTGAGTGGGCCAAAAAAGTGGGAATCGACGACGCAAACATGGGATTTCTTAGCAGGTATGCAATGTAACATTTACTTATGATTTCAACAAAACCTGAAAAGTTAGAAAACTAGGAAGTTAGAAAACCTGAAAAGTTAAAAAACTGGCATTTTAACGGGGTGTTCCTTGTCCACGTAGGTCCTAACGAGTTCATACCTAGCCCTCGGACATGCGTGGTTCTTATGTACGAACCCGTGAAAGTTTTTTGTGGGTAATTTACTAATTCGGGGACATTAGAAACCTGGACAGTTAGAAAGCTGAAATTCTAATGGGGTGCTTTCTGACAGTCCTGGCGCCCAGTCTCAATTCTTTTAGCTAGAAGCATCTGCCGGGAAAAAAGCGCCGTTAGCGGCAAAAATCTGCGGGGATCTATGCAAAAACATCGTCACACCGGCAGTCGGTGCGCTGGCCATTTGTTTATATACATGCAAGCGTTAACCTTTTGGTCCATTTGGGATTTTTGAAAGTGCTGCCTGCAGCATTTTGCATTCCTAGTCTTACTAACCAAAATTGTTTCTTTTTCCTGTTTTATAGCAGCGTCATATGTTGTAAAATTGTAGTTATGCATGGGAGCTGTTGGTTTTGCATTTTCTTCAATGTGGTGCTCATCCAGTGGTGCTGCCGAATCTCCAAGTGCTTTATCCTCAGATGTTCAACGCAAGATCTCCATTAAGC